CCATGTCTTGAGCACTCCAAAACCTGGTTTTTTTTGCCATGTCTTGAGCACTCCAAAACCTGTTTTTTGCCATGTCTTGAGCACTCCACAAAATATTCTCCCTGTGAAATAGTCTGGAGGCTGTAAACGGACCGAGATCAGAAAGTGATATCTGTTTTGAAATAAAAATCAAAGTCCATCTTGAATGTCAAAACTAACAGGTAAAATTTGGTCTGCCCATTTTGGACTGCAAAAGGGAAGACAGCATTGGAGCAGCCTTGATCAAGGCGTTGGGCAATGATTTTGACAATCCCGGCCGTCAGGCCTGCAGTACGTGAGCGGTGGAAACACTGCACGGTGTTTTGCTCAATACCCTCCCTGCAGCAGGTTTGCTTTTAACAAGTACGGTACATTGCACAGTACGTCGGGCTGTTATGCTTTACGAGTGACATCCAATTCCTAGTGAAGCTGTTGCCCCACTCTCAGCTTGCGTGAGTGCGTCCCGGTTTTCGACTTGGCATCATGACGGACAGCTCACATACGTACATACGTGGGGTTATGTACAGGTACATATATACGCACACGTGTCTGCGGTGGTTTGGTTTGTATTACAGCAGTAGCATAGCTTTCATAAGTCTGTGTACAGGGATCTGTTGTGGTGCGCCATTGTACCGTACGAGGGCTGCTGCTCGTTTAATTGCCATGGTTTGCATGCGTACGGCTTGGATCTCTGCCAGGGTTTAAACCGCCTTGGACAAGGCTACGTTGGAGAGACATAAAGTGCTCTACTGTTTCATGCAAACAGTTTGCATCCTCATTCACAGGTTTGTAATGTTCTTGGTTGTTGAAACACTTGCAGAAATATATGACCATAGAGAAACACCGCCAACAATGACAGGCCCCCTTCACTGTGTTTTGTTTCACATGTAAACCTGATTCAACAGCTAATTGATTGATACAAATAAAAGCTAATCGTTATAAGTAAGCAAGTCTTAGACCATGTCTGAAAGTTGTGGCTGTGGCTATGAAAGCCACTGGGCTAGCAGCTGCAACCAATTCCCATAGACTTGTGTATTCTTCCTGCAACAGCCAGCCAATTCAGACCCGGTCTTACTGTGTCCTTAAAACTCATCCACATTTGCACACAACATGTAATATACTGGAATGATTTCTTTGTGATGCATACTTTTATTTGCTTGGTTGATCTGATATTGCTTTTTTTTATAAAGCACTTGAATAAATCCCTGTCACCTGATTGGTAAATTGTTGCTCACACAACATGAGTTTTGGCCTTGTAGAGGGCGCTGTAATGCAGCTCTGCACACAAATTAGCCAAGAATAAAAAGCATTGAAAACATTGACACACTTCTGAAGTCATATATATTACTAACGCTGCTAAGTTGAAAGACACAAATTGATTACACTGTTAGACAGATGGAGGAATATTTGGGGAAAATGGGAAAGTCCAAGCTTCTGTCACAGTTTTGAGTCAGAGTGCGAAGGTAAAACAGAGGGTACATGAAAACTCATCGATCAAATGGCAAAGATTTATTCAGATGTGTGAAAGAATGTATCACATTCATGAAACAGTAGAAATAAATTCATTGGTGACAGACGGAATGGAATGTTGTCGCTGAATGAAATTATACCTTCCATTGGAGTCACAGATATTCAGGTTAACTTGACAAACTACACTACAGTTTCAACATGTACACAATGCATGTACCCCTTGATCACCCCTGAAATGCTGGGACTAGTCATATCCTCGAGTTGTCAGCTCAGGTTATACAATGTCTTACAACACTGACTGGAAAACCTTGCAGACTGATGTTGTGCATCCTAACACATTTCAGACAATTTGGTCCACAAAATAACAGTTGCGCAATGGAATTCTACTGAATTGATATTTAAAACTTTTCACCAAAGTGAATTCTATACAAACATGTGACCCGCTCTGTGAAAATGAGTCTTTAAGTCGCCAGAGCCACTTTTTGAGTTTTTATTTGTATTGGAAAGAGCAAATTGAGTTTTTCGTTTTGATGTATCACTCAGTTTGGCATCCTGGTGAAAGTGGATACTCCTTGGTGAAAATGCTGTGGGTTCCTATTGATTTACACCGTGCAAAATTATCCTAAAGACTTTTTACTCCAAAATGACTCTGGCAACTTGAGATTCATTTTCACAGAGTAGGTCACATATACAAGTACAATGTATCTACCCCGGTCCTACAAACAAGGGATGGTTTTACAAGAGTCTGATTAACAATGGAATTTAGGAGGAATGATAAATACTCTTTAGAAAAATACAGGGACGGAAGAATAAGTAATTTAATACAAGAAATTCTGAGAAAAAAAGGAGTTGCATGTAATTTAAACAGGTCCAGGAAGCAGTTACACTGAAATATTTAAAAGCATTTTAATTCTTAACCACTTTCTGCCGGGATTCCGGATCCAGACACGTATGCTTTATATGCGTGGCTGGGGTCTCTGAACTCGGACAAAGGGAACAGGGCTTTGTAACAAAAGACCGTACTCAGAACAAAAGACCAGGCTGCTGGGAACTACCGACATTTTTTCACTCTCAAAAGTGGAGATAATCCAGCCTTGTTTTAAAACAGTATACCACGGTTTGGGGCATTTAGAGCAAGCGGATTACCACCAGGGTAAAAGGGCTCCACCACAGCAGCGGTGAGCCACACAGCACCGCTGCATGCTAATCTGGCCTCTATTAAGAGGTCAGCAGCACACTGAGCCAGGTTCGTGAACAAAAGAAAGTTATATAACACCGCACAATCTAGGCTCTTTTTACAAGGCTGCAGGCCTGGCTGAAAATACTCCGGGGTCCATAAATTTTATCTGTCAGGCTAGAGTGGACACCAGACAGTCATTCACATGTTTGTAAATGTCCTGTAAATGAAGATTTAAAGAACTTTGAAAACAGAAAAAAAAGATAAATATCCCGGCCCAGCATCATCAACATTGATAACCGCCCCGGCAGGAAGTGGTTAATAAATAATTCCCTCCAGAGTTGTAACTTGTTAATACATGTGAGTTAAGGTATCATTTTGCAACAACCTGCCAAATATATGCATTTGCATTTATTACAAAAGACAAATTCACAAGTAATTGCTTGATAAATAACTGTAGTTAATAAAACCCAACAACCATGAAATAAATAATGCTTCAATTTCTGTCTTAAACACAAACTCGCGTCAATAATACTGATACCTAATGTATATTTAACAAGTAAATATAAACTCCTTTCATGCAAGGCATTATAGCATGCATGCTTCATTTTATAAATGATTAATACATCATTTCTCAAAGCGTTTATGTGTATTTCTTCCGTTTCAGTTTATGGTGGGAAATTTCAGTCTCCACATCTGAACACAGTCAGTAGTTGGGCCTGTCACGCACATGGCAGTTTACTAAACTTTCTGACAACGCATACCCAATCGTGAATGACATTTAGCGGCATCATGGACAATGAATGCTCACAGCTAATTAGCAAGTAAGTGACATGAGTTGCTAATACTTATTAGTGTCTTGGCGTTACACCCCTTGTGCATACATTCCTTGCAGAATCCAAACTATGTCCAGGCTGGACTGAATGGCACAACACCTTTTAATGGTTTATAGCTTGTTATTTACGGCTGACTTCAACAGAAGATAAGTTTGCTACTTAACCCTAACATTCCTGAATCCTCTAATTTTTAATATGATTTTGCACATACCCTAGGGAGTTTAGGTTCACAACATGCACTTGCTGTGCTTCGGGTCTCTACCTTCTTAAATGAACTGAAAAACGATTCCATTACCAATTAATCATGCAATAAGCAGTGTCAAGAATTTGGGGCACTGGAAAAAGAAAACTCTTCGAAAATTACATATTCCAAGTGAAACACAGATTTTGCACCATAAAATTGCCTCAAAAATACAGTTATTATGTACAACCTTTGACTGCAATGACCGCTTTCCTCATAGGACCAATTGCCCGTTAGGTGGCCGCAAATCAGTGACACCCAATTACCTGAGTGTTTGCAAGTTACTCCCATCTCGGTAGTACTCACTCTCCACTGGCTTCAGTGCTTCAGGGGCCTTGGCAGGCCAAAAACTGTCTTGTAGCTCTGCTATCCTTGTTACCCACACATATGCCTGGTGGCCAATACCGGTGGGTCTTCTTTGGGAAAAACTCAAACCATGGCCTCCCGTCCTACCTTTCGTTTCATGAAACTTAGCTTGTTGAATGGCCTTTGGTGTTTCCTGCTCTTGTTGCTATCCTCAGCATGGAAGTGATTGCCGATATTGCTCTGAATAAGATCCTTTTGTTCTATTAGTAATTTTGGAAAAAAGTAAAACGGACGTAAACAGGTGAATGAAAACCAGCGCAAAACAGAAACAAAATTCTTCAGTTTTCTTCCGGAACCAGCATAAAAAATAAAAGATACAATGAGATTACAGCAGGCAACTGTGATGCTCAGCTAGTAAAGTCTATGTCAGCCGATGCTTTAGACAGGACACTGACAATTATTTCTTGGAAGCCGGTACACCTGTCAAGTTACACATGAAGTCAAACTGCGCACGGCACTGTACAGTTGTTGCCATTAATAATTCAAACCTTGGACTTGGAATTAACCAATTTTGTTGTAAAACTGCTTACTAATTAGAGTTGCATGAAATCTATAGTGCTTCAAAATTCTAGACTCATTCAAGTTGAAATGTTACTGTCGTGGCAGTGTTAAACTTGAGGCATTTTGCCAAGTTAAATCATCCAACTAGTCGAGGCATTCAACATGCATACATGTACTACCGCAGTAGTGGCTTCTAACTTCAATAAACGGATCACTCTATGGGGCTATTTAAGCCCAATCAGAATTTTTTCCCCAAATTTCCATTAAGGAATAGATTTTGCTATGAAATATACTGAAATATCAAGTACTCTAACTTTCCAACTTAAGCAAGTAAGTCATGTAACGGACCTGCGCTCAGGTTTCCGATGGTAGCCATCTTGTCCAGAAACTCTTGGCACATCTGTTGTGACAACTCCAGCTCCATCATGTTGTGCAGGAAGGTGACCAGCTGGCCGAAGGTGATGTTCTCGTTCAGGATCTCCGTGTTCTCCCGCTCCTCCGTGGTCAGGTGGCGCCAGTTGACCTGGTGGTCGGGCTGCCGCTGCTTCCGCTCCTGGTGGACAGCGTCAAAGAAGGCAGCATTCCAGAAACGCAGCGATTTCCTGAAAAAAGCAAAGTTCTACCCAATATATATCCACTGGACAAAAGAGTAAAATTTTGTGAAGCTGCTAAACATACATGTAAGAACACAAATTTGCTGAGCACACTAAAGGCTGAGAAAACAATGGACACTTACAGTTTACCTGTCAAAATGGCATGTTATGTGAATAAGCTAAGACTAGTTACAATCCAACTCATACACAGCAAGAAAACTCACGACTCAAAATCTGTAAAAAGGGGTCTCTACCTGATTTCACAAACCATCACAGCAAACAGGCCTAAAACACAAAGACATCACGCTAATGCACATGCATTATCCTATGAGAGAGTTCAATGGTCATGTCCCACTTCACTACTATAGGAAAGCACACATGTAAACAAGCTTGATGTCAGCACGTCATGGGTCCAATACAATTACAGTCGCACAGGTACCAAAATGGACCCTACCAATATCATTATGCTGCTGATGGATAGTATTGACATTTTCTTAAAGAACCCATTTCAATAGAACATCTAGTACAGCAAATGATTACCAACTTAAATGGATCAGAGCAGAACCCCTTGACTAGAAAAGCAAGGCAGAATTTTTGTCTGTTCCTGTTAAAAGGTAAAGTCAAGTGCTGCAAGTCCTAGTCTGATTTTTTCAAATGTGGGCTGGTTTTCACAGACAACTGCATATCCGTGTATAGTTGAGCACATCTTCCTTTTGTGGGAGGAAGTGGCTAACAATGGACAGGACTTGTAACCCCATCTTCAAATAGATAACAAATCTCTCACAGATGTACATGCATCAAAGCCAAGTCAAGTTTCTCTCAGTGTGCAAGTTTTAGAAGCTCAACGGTACCTGACACTACTCCCAACTGGATCCAGAAAATAAACCTACCATATAGGCTGATCTGTCAAATGGCTGTACAAGAAACTCTTCTGCGTTGTGTCGTCACATCTAGGAACACCTTTGAAATATCCAACAAGAGAGAGAGACTCTACGAACACGCTTTGCTCCAGAAAGGTATACGTATTTAGAGTTCTGGTCTGTTCTTGCCCTAACAAGTTCTCTTAACATACATGTACACTGTACATATGACTAACCAGACATTTTAAACTTCCAAATACCGGTACTTCCAAATGGGTCATTCCACGAAGTTCGGGCACAGTTTGTGACGGCGTCCCTTGTTACATCAGTGAAAAATCTAGCACCCCCAGCACTAACTGAAGTTGCTAAGGGCAGGCAACTCTTCCCCTACCACACTTGGGGGCTCATTGCTTGATGGTAAAATCCACCCTTCCCTATACAAAGCCACTCCCCCAACCTTTCCTGGGCTCACTAAGAGCTGAACGTTCAAATGCTGGTATGTGCATGCACATGCTTTTATTCTTAAGCTGCTTAATGGGACTTTCCTAAGCTCCATAAGTCTCTGGATGACTATGATCCCAATTCAAATAGATTCCTCTGAAACATCAGTTCAAGGTCTTACAGCGTTTCTATACAGTCCACTCCAATTAGTTCTTGAGATAACATCACTCTCCTTTCTATGCTGTATACATCAGGGGTGTGAGTGGACTTTAGATCATTATTTTCTTGCAATTTAGGCTATGCATACTTTTGATTTTACTTTTTCTTCATATTAGTCTGAAATTCCAGAAGAGGTTAAAGTGAATAGAAAGAGTTACATGATCCTATACATGAACATACATGTATGTTCATGCAATTCATGTGAGTGTGATTCCGAAGCCAGGAAATGTTTGTGACTCAATGCCCCGAGTCTCTGATGTTCACCAATGTTAACCCACCCTTCCCTCCCTTGGTCCCCCTCCCTACTGCATTAGTCCCCCCCTCCCCTTTCAGGAAATCCCCAAGCATTACCTTCATGTTCATGATAGAATGTGAAGCACATGTTCATGAGGCTCTTTCCTGGTGTGAAGTCATCAGCGTCATTGCATCTGCAAGAACAGAGCACAAGTAACAAGGGAACATCGTTAACCTGAACCGCCCAAAATCTGTCCAATTCCAAAACAGTTTTTGGTATATCTGACTTGGACCTGCCAGCCAACCCCAGCAAGCTGAATGGTCCAGTGGTTAAGACTGTATGTACTAGTGAGCAAGAGGTCATGGGTTTGAGTCCCACGCAACTAAGCTTGTGCATTTTTTCACAAGCTCTCAATCAAGCACTGAGTGTTTATGCATATATGTCGGTGTTGGGAGCAAATGAAGAACCTGTAATTAAAATCCACAACAGTTGTTTTTTTGTGTAGTCTTTATCTTTATGAATGCAAGACTTTGCAGCCCAGGAATGATTGAGTTACAGAGGACTTTTATGACTGCACTGACGGTGTCTGTGAAAGCAAGATGTGCCATTAATGTCACAAACATATTTCTAAAATTATTGGATTTGGACAATTTCAGGCGACTTTTTGCAAACAAAGGGCTTACAGGTTCAGGGTTATTATGTACATGTAGCTACATGTACAAGGAACAAACTTAGCAAGCTAGAACAGTAAAAGACATCCGAGAGACATGTACATGACGACTGCATTTCTTATCCTACATGTATACAATGTACATGTACAGTATGTAAGTTAATCACAAAACGGTAATTCTGCAAGTTGGCACCCGACTAAACTGTACACCATATGGAGAAAGGTCAGGCCACATACACTCTGAAAACACACATGTATACAGGCAGTAGGCCCCTATTTATGGCATGTTTTGCCTTTCACAACACACAGAAACACTACATGTACTTTCAAATGTTGGATTTCTACCATACCGGGTAGGTCACTCCTCTTCCATTCTATTCTGCCCAAACTTACTCAAACAAGCAGACAGCAAAGAACTGGACTAGTCGGTAAAATGTCTGCTCCGTCACTTTCTTGCAGTTTACTCGCTGGCTGTCCACAAGTCTGGCAAACCACTGACGACCTATTGCTAACTGGGGTAAAAAAAAAAAAGAACCATCAATTCAAACACTAATTTCTTTCAATTTATGCAATCACATCAATTCAATTTATCCTTCAAGAATATGGTTAAAGCCCAGGACCAAGTTTTGTGATAGTTACCTGATGACAAAAAGTTTGAACAACTTTCTTGCACACAACGATTTCTTTTTATCTGATGAGTTCTGCTCTTCTTATTATTTATGTTTAACACAAATGAAAGTGCACAGTAAGGAAATATACAAGTTTTCTTTCCACTCCTTGGACACCACAATTTCAATGAACAATTCAATGCCACAAGCAGTGAAAAACTCAAAACCATCTGTGAAAGAGCTGATCCCCAAAAGCCTGTCCTCTCATGCTTCAGCAGAGTGGAAGATTGAAGGATGATTGCCATCAATAAATCAAATGAACTGTGAAAGTGACCGTGTGCGCCTTCAAAATAAACAATACCAGCAGAGGTCAATGAGGGGCATTCAGGCTTAATTTGGTGAGTATCCTTGGCACAAGTTCAAATGGTCAAAGCCTAAATTAATGAACTTTTCCATTTTCCTTCACGATCAAACAGAGAAGTTATTAGTTTGGCAGAATTAGATTACGGAATTGACTGAAATATTCTAAAAATGTACCACATGTCGTTGATGTAAGGAAAGGGGAAAGAAATAATAAGTCTTGAGGTGTCAATCATATGACTCTACATTTAAAGTTATTTGAAGGTCAAGGGTCACTCACTCGGCAATACTCTCCAAACTTGGCACTGTCCTCCTGGCAGATACTGGCACTGAGTAAAGGACATAGAAACAACACACACACATCAACAATTTGACATATTAGACAGCCCAGAGAGAACTCTGCCTGTCAATCAAATATTTTAGCACTTTTTTCGCCGTGGTTTCAATCCACACTGCAAAATGAAAAACAAAATGACCACACAAGCCCAATCAATTGGCTAGCATGTGTACAGTATGTACAGGTGTATACCGTGAGCTCTACAGCAGAACTATTAACCGTAGAAATGATTGATCGTAACTCTTAAGCTCTAAGTTTCTACAGGAGTTTGAGGACCAAAAAACAAGACTGGATTACTGGAGCTACAAGTGCACAGCTCCAGATTTTAATATGTTTCAGCAAAAACAGGGTGAAGCAAGAATTACACTGTTGATGGATCAAAATGGTAGAACAATATCACCGGTATTCTGCGTGCAATCTAACCTACATGTACAATGTACATGTACCTGTACATGTACTAGTACATGCACTAGCCTCTGCCACACTCAATTCTTGGAACCTGCTGACATGTACTGGTACATTGTACATCATGTAGGCCTGTCCTCCCCATCCAAGTCTCTGTGGTTGTAGACTCGATTATCAAAACCTGTAATAGTGACATATATTGTACTCAAAACCCTTACCAGATGCACGGGTACCCCTACACGTACACACTGATACATGTACAATGCAATTGTGTGAATGTGTACACGCACATCCTCTGACAAGCAGTTTATGGCCTTGCCATTACCATAAATTGTTCAATTTCCTGAATAAAGCCACAGTGACATTGATTTCTACAAATCCACTGGGAATGCCCTTTTTCATGAAAGAAAGAGCGTCAATGAATTAACTAGACTGCATACATGTTACTAAGTACGGTACATGTACATGTACATGTACATTGTATGTGCATGAAGCTTGTAGTCAGTCGTGATTACAAATACTAGTACATGTACAGTATAAGTAATAAATGTCAATGGTAACTTTTACATACAGCACAAGCACAATTGATATACCACTATATTCCTAAACCTTCTCAATCACATACTGGGTACATGTGTACATGTTGGATTAATCAAACTGACTTCCATTTTCTGTTTCAAAAATGACAATGCTCCTTAGCCCGCAGGCTGCGGTTTTTCAACATTCAAAGTTGTGCGAACAAACAAGCAGTTTCATGTTCTTTATGCATGCACGTTGCTCAGGTCAGTGTTTCCCTGCCTATTCAAGTGTGATGCGGCCCACCTCACTGACTTTAGTGACCACCTCAGGCTTTTCTGTTGAATTCTACCACCTCGAAATAAAAATAGACAAAGATGGAAGGAAATAGCAAAAGAAGTTGGATATTTTGAAATAAATCAGGTTTAAATCATTCAGAATGGTAAGGAAGGACACAGAATACAAGATCGATTTATTTTAGAGGAGAAATTTGAAGTAAATGTGTGGTAACCATTTGGAACAATCACAGTTAGATAACACTGAGTGTACAAGATCAAAATTTCAAGGGGGAAGGGGGACATTTGGTATCAATTTATAACTGAAGGCAATTAAAAATTCCAAATCTTTCAAAATCCTTCAGCGAGCACTGGAAACACATGGCAGAGAGATACTGGTACATGCATGAAATGTACATGTACTACATGTAGATGAAATGCCAATGAAATATACACTACAGTATGTAATTATGACCCGGGGGGCAGGAGAGTGGCACAGGGTGCTACATTTAATGTAGATATCGGTACATTTATAACTTGTACCTGAAACAGGTGAGTTGATTAATCACTATCATCATCTGAAACAGAATACAGTATTTCAAAAAGAGAGAAAAAAAATGAATTCATATACAAGTACATGTACGGTAAATTAACTTGTAACATTTTAATCAGCATCCCAGTATACATGTACATATGTACATGTATGTACCAGTACATATTGTACATGCATTTACATGTACATATGTGCATGTATGTACCAGTACATACATGCATGTACATGTACATATGTACATGTATGTACATGTACCAGTACATACATGTACATATGTACATGTATGTACCAGTACATACATGTACATATGTACATGTATGTACCAGTACATATTGTACATGCATTTACATGTACATATGTGCATGTATGTACCAGTACATACATGTACATATGTGCATGTATGTACCAGTACATACATGTACATATGTGCATGTATGTACCAGTACATACATGCATTTACATGTACATACACGTATCAGTATCTCACTCTCAAATGTCCGCATTTTCCCCAAAGTTCACTTTTTTTCAAATTCTGCACTAGGGCTATGCCAAATACCCCAATATTCGATCGAATATCAAATATTTGAATATTATTTTCCAAATTTGAATATCCAAATGCAAAATTCATGAAAACGAAGGGAGAATTTTCTTTTGCTTTAAATGCGGCTTGTTTCAAGCAGATAATCAAATGAAAAGTGACAGAAATTTTACCGTTTCAAAAGTAAATTATTCATTAAAAAAATTTAAAAGGAACAGAAATTTTCAACAGGGCAAGTATTGTTCGTCTCTTAAATCTTGCTAAATCGTGGTTGGAGATACTCCTAGACATGAGAAGTTATTATAGTGGTAATGATGTACAATTTTGTGTGTGCTATTTTGTTCATCAACAATCTGCCAGTCAGTACAACCGTATATTCGGATATTCGATCGAATTGAAGCTCAACTAACTGAATAGTGAATTATTCGAATTGACTCAGCCCTATTTCGCACATATTTTCAAAGCTAAAAATTGATTTGAATAAATTTCAGAGCAATGTAAATGCACTATCTACTGGTTTTATTTCAATCTGTCAACAAAATGGAATTCCATGTACATGTATGGGTACTGTATATGTACATGTACATTGTATATCGATGCATGCTGTAGTTTACGCAAATGTGCATACTTCCATTCCATCCTGAAACCATATTTTTATGTACGGTGGCACATTAGCAGAATACCTGACCTTGCAATGCAAGAGACTATAGTTTGTCATGTGACTCAAATGACTGACCATGCTGGTACATGCAGTCAACGGCTGACAACTCGTGATCATGTCGTGGGGAGGTTTATTGCTGCCAGTATCCTAATCCTAAGGACATTAAAATCTTGCCTTGCTACCGGTAAATTACCGCTAGGCTTCAAGCTGAAATGGTGGTGCTTCTACCAGTAACTGAAACGAAAATCGGTTTCCTGATTGACAGAGTGAAACACATTACGAAAATATTGGAATAAAAGGTGTGACCGGCTCCACAAAAATGGGTATTACATGTATGGGACCTTTTTTTTTCAAAATGAGTTACATACACATTTGAATTGGTTACATGATACGTGTAAGCTTTAATTGGTGTAGGTTTGAACCCAGTGGCATTTTGGGATCTGGAGATACTGTTTACTGATTTTACACCATGAAGGTGTGATGCTGGGGGTTTTTCTTCCCCTAAACTGACCAAAAAAACAAACAAACAAAAGACGAACAAAATGGACACAAAACATTCGTTTTTTTCATCTTTATTCATCTGTACTGATATGTATGGACATGTAATACAGGCCCGTCCGAAGGTATAAAAAAGTGGGGGGGCCCAGTGTTTTCCATCCTTAGTTCATCAGTTTTTGCAAAGCCACTACATGGCCCTTGAGCAGGCCCTACGACATTTTTTTATTCTAGATGCTCTCTGGTACAATCCTGGGGACTTTCCTGGCCACTTTCTTCTGTAATTTGGCCCCAAATCTGCTTGCACTTACAAAGTGAAATAATGACAAGAATTTTCAGTAAAACTGTAAGCCAATATATACGTACGTACTGTATCATAAAGCTGGTTTCATTTGTGTTGCATATACAATAACACAATAAATAAATATAGCTGGTTCATTGTTATGTTTCTTAGATATAAATTAAATTGTTATGGTTTTTTTTAGCTTACTTGAGTGTTTCAGTGTTTACAAGTATGCCTGGCCATCTACTTTTCTAGTCAGTCCTGATGAAGATCTCCGGATCGAAACGTTGACTCTATCTTATGTTGTGTTAAACTTGCTCAAAAAAAACATAACAATTTAATTTATAACAATAGCACAACTCTACTGATTCTGTTAACGTGTCATGCCTGGTGGCCTTCAATTGGGGCTTCTGCAAAATAAATTAATATGATGTATCAGGATAAATACACCTTCAGTAAGTTTATGAGGAAAATTGTATCGTGTGTATTTATTCAAAATGACCCACGGACATCGTCAGCATACATTACAGGCTGGGTTTAAAAGATGCCTTCTTTTGTAAAGAAAAAAAAAGATGAATGCCATAAGTTTTGTCATGGGAATTTTATTGGGATAGTCAGATACCGGTAGTAAACCCTGAGTAGTCAATTGGTGTAAGTAAAATTGTCTGGCTGTTTTCATTTCGGAAAAAAATTGTGCTCAAAGTTCCCGACAATCTGCACTAAGCTTCCACACAAGTACATGTAGGGCTGTACTGGCAACAGTTAAAGACGGATTTCAAAAGAGAGCCATGATGTACGGCCCTACATGTGTGGGGCAAAGTCGTGCCCACTGCCCATGTCAGTTGCATGTTGAATTGTTATTGTAACAATTCTATAAGTTGTTTTGCAACCTATCACAAGATGAAATAAACATTTTTTTAATGTAAGAACAGCCACACAGTTAGAATTGTTTGTAAGCAGATTGAGGACTCGGAGGGGCAAGAGTTTATGATTACAGCAACTGAAACCCCTTTTTCAATACTGCTTTGAACCATGCGTCCTAATCATGCATGCCTTCACTGTGGTCCAACAAGCGTCACTTACTGTACGTGGACCAACGTGCCACGGGCATGGTGAAATTGGCCCCTTTGGAAGTTAAGACGGCACAAGAACACACACCCCACAGCGCACACCACGGCACAACCACCTACCAGGCTACCAGTCAGGGGCTGCACGTTTGAGTGAGCTACTCGTGTTATCCCAGGGCGCATGCGGGGAGCACGTGTATAGTGGTTCCAGATAATGTGCATGCATCCTATCAAGTAACCAGGACTAGCTGCTAGAACACACCATGAATTTACAACATTTTACAAGAACATGACGTAATTTGACGTGACTTCCAAGACGAGAAAAGATGGTAGATGATAGAAACAAAACAGGCAAAGTCGAAGTGTGCCTTTCCGAACATTATGAAAACTATCCTTTTCTAACCAAACTTAGAAAAGATGCAGTGTAAATATCATTCTTTCATTTTTTTCATGTCTCCAAAAAGTGGGGGGCCCGTGCCCCCCGGTCCAGACAGCCATGTGTAATAGGAGCAAATAAACCAAAAAGTAAAAAAATCACATTTTCTTTTTCATCCCTTCCACATACAATGTAGAACAACCCCTAGTGTAAAGTACTTAAACACAGCATCCCTTAACAGCCTTTTTTGCAGAGCGGGTCACATTGACACACAAAATGTAAAATATTGAAAAATTAATCATGTTTTCACCTAGACCATGTGCGCATGATTTCTTAAAACTTTACAAATGAGCAGGTTTCTTATCTCAATAATAAGCAGATGTGGGCAAACAAAATCCCCCTTGTGTTTTGCAAATTGTTAACCAATGGATCTCTGAGCTGAACAAACAAGGGAAAGTACACACTACACTGGTTCTCGATTCCTCTTTATGGCAATGAGTGGAGGGAACCAGTATTGTCAACGGTCACCACTCCCATCATTGAAAAAACCTCTTAAAATCAAATCTGCTCAGACATATGTACAACTGTATGGTACAGATGTACACAGATGGAGGACAGCACAAGAGGGTAATTGGTCTACATGCACATCTATCAGGATCCAGATCTTTTTTTGTGATCATGTCTTCATGGGGGTAGGGGTGTAGGTGTTCATGGTGGTGGGATTAATTCTGTCAGCACTCCAAGAAGTTGATAGTGCCACCATGCACCCCCTTTCCCTCAGACTTGAACCTTCCAGAAATTATATGTACATTGTACTGGTAGTTTTATCGATATTCTCAGTGTAGTTCACTAACTTGACAGAGCCTTGCACTGTCAAGCCAACCATGTACAGTAGAATTTTTTCCAAATGCTGAAAGCACACTACCGGTAACTGATCAATAATGGAACACAATTTTGTGTTTTTTGTAATTCACCTGCAATTTTTTAAAATTCCTACTACACATGTACATGTACATGTAGTTACCAGTAAAGGGAACTTCAAGTACAAAATTTTAGTTCCAAAAGTCAACTACATGCACATGTACCAGTACGGGAAGGGGACAATGTAATTTCTGTACATGTGCAGTGTACAGCCACATCGCACACACGTGCAGACCGCATGGTGATTGGTGTTCACGTGAATACCTGTAGTCCGAAAAGTGTACATGTAACTGCTGCCTACATATGTACATGTATATGGCCTGAATTTGGTGGAAAATGAGTACGGTAACTCCATCCTAAAATACATGTAGCACAAGTATGTGTACAATTCCTGACTTGCCTTGGAAGCATACCAATTACATGTACCACTATCAATTGGCATGAAAATTGCTTGAGAGTAACATGAGAACATGTACATGTATCGGAACTGTAACATACATGTACATGTACATGTACATGTCACACGTTTACTCTAACTTATTTTTAGAATGGAGGCATTCACAGATTTTTTCACTTTCTTATATACACCATACCCATGCAATTTTCCTTTTCAAAACAGCTCAAAATTCAACTTATGGGTAGTTTCTTTTTCCAAACACATTTCTCAGAATGACATGATTTCCTTTTTGGAGGGGTCTGCACTTGGTTGCATCAGTGGGATTTCCTTATAAACATTTACGAAACATTAAAGGATCGATGCCTGAAAAACAGTACAGATCTCCTGTCAAATATAACATTCTCACTTTCCCAACACTTGTAGCGGTACCATACAACTTACAAGTCATGTAAATAGGAATTTTAAAAAAAAATTCAGGTGAATTACAAAAAAGACAAAATTGTACGCCATTACCGACCAGTTACTTTCAGCATTTGGCAAAAATTCTACAAACCCAGTCTCCAGCAATTGTTGACTTTTACCTACAGCAGCAGCTAATACATGTATCTGTCCCTAATTGAGGGACATCATTAGTATTCCCCCCCCCCAATAAAAAATAGCTTCTTTGTCATAAATGTCACTTTCCCTGGAAATATGGGCATACACCACAAATAGTTTCATAGTTGGCTGATTCAGGTACACACAAATGCCTTCAATCTCCTCAAAGCAGAGGGTTTAAACTTTATGGTCTGTCCATGGTCGATTGTATTCCACAAACTTTGTGCACGAAAATACTCTTTCAGGTAGTACTCAGCGCAGGTCCGAGGCTTCATACCGGTAACAAAGAACCTTCACACCCAGAGTGGGCGGAAAGCCTTGTCTGATTGTTAGGTGTGGCATGCAGTGGCTTGCATGGGTGCGATGGGGTCTAGGGAAACATTCGCAGACATCAAACCTTTATCTGCTGATAAACTGTACTGCACTACATGTGTGCTAACACTCCTTTCCTTTCTCTTTCACAACTAGAGCTTTGATGAACAGGAGTTTTGTCACAACTCCTGTACAGACGCACCTCTCACTTGTGCCCTTTGTATACATTTCACAAAGAACAAGCTAAAGCAAAAGATTTGACAACATATACCATTAGATCTTAGGCAAACTACATGTATAACAGGCCCACATGGTTCGTGTGCATGGTATGTACCATTGCAAAATATCAAATGAGCAAGTACTGGGTAGGCAATTCTTTCAAAATTATCACGCTGTATTTCACAATCCGACACTATCCTGATTTTTTAGAACCAGGGCCAAACATTTTGTACAGTAGTTTGAATCATAAAGGAAAGAAAGTGAATCTCCATGTACCAGGACATGTATTAGTACGTGGACCAAAGATCATGTGTTTCACTTTTCTTTCACACAAAATTACATTTTGGCATTAATTTCAGCTTATAGTTCCAAGCTTGCTAAGACGCTTTGCTAATAAAGCATTTGTGTTATTGTCGACACTGGCGAGGTAATGATTTCTGCACTTTTATTCATGTTCCCCTGAGGAAATTGAATTACTGACTGCAACCCAATAACCTTCGTTAGCCTACATGACATTCACCATACGGCACATGTACTTGTAACGAGGAACTTGGAGTCCAACACGCACATCATGCATGTAATTGAACATTACAAAACCTCTAAATTTCAGAACATTATGCTACACGTACATGTTGTATACAACATCCTCATTGAGGAGGTGCCTCACACACATGTGCACATGTATCACAAGGGAAATTTGTAATACAAATAAATCAAAGTTGAAATAACAGATCTCTGCTTTCCATATCGTGCAAATTTCCTGTGATCTGGAAAATTATTCCCACTGTGCAGAATCATGAAATGTACCCTCTTGAGATCGAGTAAACCAATACCGGTACATGTTGAAATTACAAATGACCTACAGGTAATGTCCCAAACATATTAATTTTCTAACTTGAAGGTGATTAAAAGTAAAAATAACAAGAGAAATAAACAGTTGAGAGTAACAAAAGTTGTGAGATAACAGCTTTTTTGGGCATGTTCCATGATGGCAATCAGTATTATTTCCAAAATAACAGAGGTCTTTTCATTCTTCAGCCTGGTTTTGGAATGGCAGGTCACAAGTGGGGCACAGGAGTAGATTTTTAAAGCAATTTTAAAGGTAACTTTAATCACTGAACGCTGACCAACAGGGGCATTTTTGGGGGGCCCAGAATTTCCAAATGGGGGCATGGCACTCATTAATGCAAAAGAAAAAAACTAAGTTTTTGCCCTGAAATGTCCAATACGAAATCATTAAATACAAATTTCTAGCACAACTCCTGTAACCTCAGTGAATGAGAAGAATAAGAACTGAAGTTGAGGGTGTGTTGACACTCAAAGAAATAAAAAAATCACTGACCTGTTATTGAAGATGCGATCTACAAGGTCCTCCATGAAACTCTTGCACTGTTTTACATCTTCCGTTTCCTCTACTGCAGCCTTTGCATCATCATCGTTCAATTTCTCTGATGTGATCTCCTGCTTGGCAAGAATCCCTCGCGTCCATGTCCTTCTCTAAATCCTTGTTCTTCACTGGACCAGCCCAAGATGTCATGTTCCTTGAGGACTTCTTCAGACTCTGACACCTGACGTCTTGCACGTCACTCCTGCTATCAAAGAAGGAGGACGGGCAGTAGCAAAGCGAGCCCTCGTCACAGGTGCAGTTCCTCATGGTGAGGGTGTCCCCTTCTGTCTGGTTATCTGGTCCTGGCTCCGGGCAAACACCAGCTATTATGCCAGGGTCAGTTTTGACAAGCCCAGGCAAATGACCACCTCCAACCTGCCCTTGGTCACTTTCAAGATAAGTGGTGACCTCTGCCTCCAACAAATCTTGGCTAGTCCTGCCAAGTCCAGACTCTCCCTGGGCCACACGTCCACAATCCCTCTGGCTGTATTGTAATGAATCCCCCAACTGCACTTGCCCAGTGTTCCCTTCGTCACAGCAACTGCTGGGGCATGTTGTGTCCGCAGTAACCTCCCGCTGCAACTGCCATTCACCAGCATCAATCTCTTGACTACTACACGCACTACCCACCGACTGATCACTACAACTGACGCATCCTGTGGCCTCCTCCACTGAACCACCACAGGAAACATTGTTATTGGGTTCACCCGCATGGCCAGTGACATCTTCCTGATTAATATTCATGGCTTATTAGTTTGCCATATGGTGCTCGGGCAAGGAGGTCCACATAAATGATAGACTGATTCAGGTCGGGATGTTTCTTAGGCAACAGTCATGCAGCCTGAAACTGTAGGTACACAATTTTAGAGCCTGCAAAAAAATATCAATGATCTGATTATTACAATGACTTGTGTGGCTCGTTACTTTTATCTCATGCATACACAGCCAAAGCTAAGGTACATGTACAAGTAGTTGGGCTTAGGACAAGATTACAAAATGCTTTTTTTAACTTAAATGTACATGTACATGTATTTTTAAGGTACATGTAGATATATCATGTGCATGTACAATGTACACCGTAAGTTTAGACATTTTGGGAAGAAAAATCTTTATAAAGAAAAGGATATCCTTTTTTGCACATTACAGGAAGCCGATACATGACTTACTATACATGTACCAAGCAGGGCCAAAAACTTACTCTTCCATCCTGAAATTCTTGTATACTTTTTGCGGTGTGTAATCTAGCTGGGACTGAGGGAACAAATTACTAGTTAGGACCAAACGTCAGTTGGACTCCCAGTCCTAAACCTCAACAAGGCTGACCACCACACAAACATTTGTTACATACCGGTACATTATTTCTGCTTTTGTGGGAATCTGGATTATTTGAATATGTGATTAGTTTAGATATTTAGTTTTGAAGGTTAAATATTCGAATAACCTATTATCCAAATTGACTCGGCCTCACACTGGATACGTATGTAGACTTTGGCTAAAATGCATTACGTGTGCTGTACATGTACCAGTTTGTGTTTGTCCGTCACTTAGCATATGCTGAAATGCAACTCCTGAGCCTGATGTGTCAGTTAAAAAATTGTGATTTTATTTTTGAAGGGGGACTTCTAATTCTTCAATTCAGTCAAGTGACACATGATATGTCTATGTACTGTACAGGGGAAGTGAAAGGAATCTGTGACTGTTTTTGACAGTGACAGCAAAAGGAGGGTTAAGCATTTAACACACTTGGGTGATACACCATTGCACGCAGTATAGCTTACGCATATGAACACCTGTACACACAATTTACAACGCCAACATTTTGGAGCTTTTGCACTGTAAAAAAAATTTATTTCTAGTTTGAATTACTGAGTTTACAGCACTAACTTGTGAGCTTTATAAGAGATTTAATGTTTCAAGAAAGCACCTCCAATTCTACGTATACCTACATTTATGTACATTACATTTGTGAAAGAAAGATCAAAAAGTGTACTGAACACTCAACAGGGTGTGCTCGAAGTACAAGTGCAGACTCCTCATTCAAAAATGGAACAATTATTACCATAAAATGAACTTTTTTCAGGAGAGAGAAAACAAGTTTTAGACAAATGAACAGTGAAAGCATACAAGTCGACATACATGTACACCACTTGCACATGTACATAACCACTTTGTCCAAAGAGTTGACAAGCACATAAATTTCATTAACAAAAATTTAATTTGATTAACAAGAAGTTTACCCTCGATTGGTAACAGGTTTGCCTCAAAATGCCTACTTGCCCTGAAAGTGTTAGAGGAGTTATTTTACAAATTGTTGGTATCTGCATACATCTAGAACTGCAATGTACTGGACATGTATTTCCAATTGGGTGTTTTGATAGCTGCATATAGTCTGTTCACTGCTGGTAGAGAAAAAAAGTCTCTTTTATGTACCGTAGCAAAACAAGAGCTCTTACGTACAATAAAAATGTCAACACCTTATACATTGTAAACGTGTACACATACAAATACATGTACTGAGTTGCTACATGTACCAGTAACAGTGGAGTGGTCAGATATTATAGCAAGGTAAAATCTGCACTTTTCCATCTCACTTTGCCTTGTCAAATGGAAAAGTCCATTTGTGCCTTGAGGTAATATTCCTCCCTTTTCACAATATAAAGCCCCTTAATGTTTCTTCTAAGTCATATCATACAAATCTGAGTCTGCTACATGGATTAAGTCGATGTCCACACTGGATGCAAACGTTGGCAGTGTTGACGTCACTGCCATGACTGTCTGCATATTGAACGTCACTTACATGTACCTATACACGTAGATCAACATTGACAAGCAGCATGAATCGGTCATAACCTCCCTCTCCCCGCCCCCCCCTCGGTTCTGGTCTGTGCCTTTCCGCTGTTCAAAATTAGCAAGGGTTGACAGTTCAAAGCTATATATGAATATTTTAAGTGTTGGTAAACGCAAATATTAAATTTGCAAAAAATGGAGGTTTCACACTGTGTTTCACAAATCAGGAAAAAAAGGATTACTTCACTCTTATAAGAACAGTGACTTATTTGTCGTGGAACTGAAACTAAACTGACAGAAAAGGTTTATCAAAAGTAAGTGGATGTCATGGAAAGTTGTACAAAATGGAAGCGACTGCTTGCTATGAATAAGCTTATTTTTACTGAAAATAACTAGTCTTTCTACTTTTCTATTTTAATGGATGTACATTTAGTGATGTTATGAAATATTACATGTACAGTGTGCTTACAGTGGATTTCTAAAGGTACATGTAGCAATGACAGGTAATTTTAAAAAAATTTTCCAACGAATACATTTTCATTACACAAATATAACTCTCAACATACATGTACAGTGTACTTGGTACAGTGAGGAATTCTTGGTAATAAGTGTAAGGCCTTGTTTGATCAATGACAGTTAACCAACAATTTGTGGATTTTTCCTGGTACCCAGGTGTACCCATAACCAGTAGGGCTGTGCCAAATATCCAAATAACCGAATATTCGATCAATATTCGAATATTATTTTTCATGAAAAGGAAAGGAAACTTCTCTTTTGTTTTAAAAAATGAGAAATAGTGCACTATGGAGGCTTGTTTCAAGCAGATTCAAATGAAAAGTGTCAAAAATCTTACAATATAAAAAGTAAATTACTCATTAAACAATTTAAAAGGAACAGAGATTTTCAATAGGGCAAGAAGTTTTGTTTGTCTCTTAAATCTTGCAAAATCGTGGCTGGAGATACTCCTAGATGTGAGAAGCTGTTATATTTATCATGATGTACAAATTGTGTTATTGCAACTGATTTTGTTCATCAACAATCTGCCGGTCCGTGCGACCGGATATTCAGATATTCAATCAAATTGAAAGTCGAATATTTGAATAGTGAATTACTTGAATTGACTCAGCCCTAATAACCCGGGAGCATTGACCAGTGGTTGACACATGTCGATAATCAACCCCAGCCTTATAATGTAATCAAACTAGTGAAACTTCTAACCTTACTGGGTGATTAAACAATTTTTTCAATAATCACGTTCAGTGTGGTACGTCTTAAAGCAAGGGTGTACACACAGGGGAACGTTGCATGTGTCGCATGCGTACCGTGTCTCCCGCCTTCGCCCCTCAGACTTGCACACCACACATCTCCTGCAGGGATTCGGTGTCTTCTCTGTCGGTGGAAGGGTGATGGGGAAATGCCAGCCAGTCAGTCTGTTGGGAGCTGGCAGGGCATGCGGGCGGCCGCGCTTGTTGTACACCGGCAACGTCACCGTGTGCAGTATCTCCTTGACCAAAGCCATGCGGAAATCCAGGTAGGTGGTTTCGCGTCCAAGAAGTCGGGACACCAAGAAGGAGTTGACCAGGCACAGGTCAACCATGTAGAAGAATAGCTTCCTGTACCACTTGACCGATCTCCACATGCTGTGGTGGCTCGACGCCAGCTGGTCAGAGAGCTCGACGGCACCCCGGCAGCGGCTGTGATCCAGGATGCAGGAGGGCTTCAGGATCTGCTTGCCATGCCTGTCACTTTTGCCGGTCTCCTGCATGGCCGCTGAGTGTATTGTCGACAGCATTTTTACTTCTTTCTTATCCTTCCAGATGAGAGCAAGGAGTCCGCAGTCACTGGAGCGAAAGGCACATTCGCCCCGTTTGAGTTTGACCTTTTTCAAGTCTGATGGCATCTGTCTCTGGTGTAGCCGGACAGTTCCACAGGCATTCGTCTGCCTGTCCCGAAGCCGGAGAAAGAGTGCGGGGCTGCTGGACTTACTGTCCAGGAAGATGTTGTATCCACGGTCCAGGAGATCCTTGTTGAGGTCAAGAACGGCACGGGCACTTCTGGGCATTACAGCACCGTGGTCCTTGCCAGTGCTGATCTTCATATTCCATGTGTAGCCAACTGCATCCCCAGTGCTCTGACACGTCTTGAAGATTCTAATGCTGAAATGTGCCCGCTTGTCAGGGCTGTGCTGCTTCCGTTTCTCACGATCATGGATTTTCAAATGTGACTCGCAAGTCGTAACATCTTGTGATGGAATGTACACTCTCTTGAAGTTCTTGGTCAGTGTCTTAATAACAGGACGCAATTTGAAGAGCCGATCAGTACCATCATCATCATTGTTATTGTTGAAGCGCATGTTTGCCTGTAACTGGAGAAACCTGTCTCTGGACATGGTGTTGCCAAAGAACGGAGTCTCAATTGTGGGCTCTCTACTCCAGTAGGCTTGGACGTCAGGCTTAGGCATAATGCCCATCAAGATCACCAGTGACACCAGTGCCTTGATCTCGTCCGAGGTGGTGCTGAACCAATCTTTCCTGTGGCTGTCCAAGTTGACACTTTGATGGTCATCAGCATACTTGTTAGTTTGGTCGGCAATGTAGTCAAACAGGTGCTCGGGGAAAAATTGGAGGAAGACATCCAGCGGCGAGCTGAAGTAGCCCAAACTGGCAACTTTGATGCCAGGACTGCCCGAAAAGCCGAAACGGCGGGGAAGGCAATCTCGGTTTTCCCAAATGACAGCAGTCTGTCCTTGTGCAGGTGTAGTCATCTTGCATCGTTTCCGCCTGGTAGGAGCACTCGAGCAGTCACTCTCACTCGAGCTTGTGTCGGGTGTTGAGGAGGTATCAGAGGCCAGTGAACTTTCATCGGACCCACTTGAACTAATTACAGTCTCATTACAACAGTGGCAATTTGTTCCTTGCATGGATGCCATACTTTGCTTTGATGAAATGTCTGACTTTATGCATGTCAACCACAAACCAGCCTCAGTCTGCGGACACGATGCAGTGTACACGCATCAACATGGGACTTCTCAAACATTGTCAACAAATGTAACTTTCTCTAGCAAATGAAGCTTACACGTCAATGCTACCTGTATTGCTAGTCTAGCCACAAGGGGCCTAGCCTACGGAGAAACGGTGGCTAACTCTGTTTATTAGTTCGAATTATTGATGACTGAGATGATTCAATACCACATGATTACTTGTTTCAATGCATGCCGATTGGAAACCCGGCCCCGTTAGCCTGCCATCTTGATACATGCAGGGTAGTCTTACTATAACCATGGGCCTATATCCATCCCACCATGCCTGGTTTCATGTCATATTATTCTTTTTAACGTACAGTTCGTGTCCTTTGACGGCTGCTGATCGCGCGTTAGGCTTGCTTCACACGTACAGTATGTAGGGCTGGGGAAGCCCTCGACCTAATCCGCGTTTTGGCATCAGTGTGTAAAACATCCAATCCTTCTCCCTTGTCATGTTAAATAAATTTCCCCCCCAGTTATTGTTACTATACAAACCATGTCTATGCCGTTTTCGTGTTTCCCTCTCTGCAGCTGCAACATCCCAAGTAGAGGGTGATTTACCACTAGCCGTGTGCCGAGTACTTCCATCCTTTATCATGTTAATTTCATAGTCTTCATAAGAATGTTCAACAGAGGGCGCTGTGCTGACGCCGCACACGGTTTACCGGTTGGGGTGAGGCTAAGGCTGCAACCGAATCTGTTGCCTAGAGCTAGGTCTAGGTCTTCGCTCCATTGGAAATGCGTGGAGACGCGCAGACTACGACGTTCCGACGGAAGCGGTCTCCCTGCATTGCTGGCCATCGAAGTTCGTCACGGGCTAGTATTAAGTCGCTTCCTCGAAGTTCAGTGCTCCCCAAATATGTCGTATATTCATTGTCTTCTTTGCAGGTGGCATAATAAAGGGGTGGGGCTTATTATGAGGGGAGGCGGCAACGAAAATAATTTATTTGCGTTTGAGGGTCGAATTAGAGAATAAATAAAACATTCCTCATTAAAAAATTACACATGCATGAGAGAGGATACTTCTGAGCGGTTTCTCAATTTGGGTGACTGCCACTACTATTAAAAACAATGCTGTCCGTTATATGTACGTGATTACTTTATTCCTCCCGACTGTGCCACCCCTGGATCTGTTACTTCTGAACCATAAACAATTACTAGATACGCTACTGCTTTTATAATTATTATTATTGAGATCACTTAGAAGAAGTGAAACCCGAACACGATTAGGATGCCTTTTATTGTCGAAAACGTAGGAAATTAAGATTACAAATGAAGTAAATCAGCATGAATCCTTTAGCTTACTGTATTCAAACCTAGAAAATTGCCTTGTGGGTGAATTCTGCGTCCAGGGAAATGAAAAAAAATGTGGTGAGGGAAAAATCCAAAAGTTATGCGATGTTGACCAGGCATTTAGGCGCACCGACTCCTAAATTTGAAAGGAATCGCAGTTACTGGCTTCCATATAGGACTCTTCTGGGATCTCGGGTTCCCAGCCCACCGCACTTCCTCCCTGCCCATCCATTTAACCATAAAAAGGATTCGAACGACCATGCGAGGGAGGAAACGAGACAGGCCCCTAAGCCCTGGCCACCGAGTCGGCCACATGTCTCGAACCTGTACTAAGGCGCTCACCAGGACTTCGCGGATAGTCCCAGCAGAAAGTTACCCTTTCGGGTAAGGTACTGACGGAATTTGACGGGGTGAATTTAGCGTCTCTTGTAGCTACTGATCGACCGTAAGCGTTGGGAAAATAAAAAACTACCGGTGGGATTCGAACCCACCAACTAACGATCTAAAAACGGCAACATTAATCATTTGGCCATTTCATATTAAAGAGATAACAAAACCATTAACCTTACTGTACAGATTGTTTCTATGTAAAGACTGAGCGACTAAAACGTTAAAATAGTGCATCACGTAGCAAAATACACACACAGAAGCAATGGTCGTCAACCTGGGGTTGCTCCCGGGGTAGCATCACAGTTGTGCCCATGAGTATGGAAATACTCGTAGGGTGAACACAAAAAGGCAATAAAACACCCTTTGAAAATCGTGAAACAAAGTTGAAAGTAAGGTTAACCGGCATGACGTAAGTTTACGTCATGCCGGTGAGCTGTCGCGTCGTGCCATTGCAGCCGTTGAGTCTTTGTCATGCTGTCGCCTCAGACTTCTTGAAAAATAAACGCGCCCGTACAGACGCATCTTGCACCTCGCCCTGTTCCCACAGACTCATTAGAAATATCTATAGACCGACAATAGGGGGCGCAAGAGCGTACAGTCTATGGGGGTGCAGACTTCCATGTGAGAATTCTGACCAGCTCATTATCATTAAAAGTGCCCCCGCAGTATCTTTTGAAACAAAAGATTGTTTGGCTCCCAAAATGGCGAGATTGTGTAAATCCTTGTCGGGATCAACTCCCTGGGTCTTTGAGCTTTCATACGAGAGCAGAATGGCTAAGAACTATGATTGAAAAATGGTCGTAAGTGCCAGAAAGTTGAGGGTTGCCACTTGAAAAACGCCGCCGCAATCAGACTTCGGAAAAATCACTTTTGGGGGGATGATTTTGTTTTGTGGGAATAATTAAAAGTGTAATTGGTCAACCCACAAAAAATTGAAAAGAAATTGAAAGATTAGTGACCAGACAAGAATTTCATTTGTGTTTCAAATATCTCAGGGATGGTGGCGTGTATGTTATTTGACCCTGAACAGTGCTGATTTTACATTGTTTTCAATGGGGCTTGAATTCGTGGACTGTACCCATAGTATTAACTGCCATAGCCAACAGTGATAAATACTTTAGTTTGAGACGCACGTCAAATTAAAGCCCAGTTTATGATTTTTCATTTTTTGTCAAATTTCCATTCATTAACCGATGACTTCTGAAGATATTTATTTCCACGAAAGGTCACCCCTAAAATGCAATCTTGAAACCCCTCGCCATTTTGAAATATCCATGCCTACATTTCTCGAAAAGTAGACCGTTTTCGGGCACCAATTTCTTCAAAATCTCGCTCAGACGCAAGCTGGTTTTCCCTTTGTCCACCTAAACCTGTCTTTACTACAAATCCTCAAGTTCGTGGGCCACAAAATGCTCTATTTCATTGAGAATTTGAGCGCATACAAATTGTGATTTGGCCCGCGGAAGCAGTTTTCAGCCTATTTACCGGCCTGCATCCAGACAGGAACGCGCCTTCCGCCCGCGCTTCGCCAAACGTTTATTGGCCCGCGCCCACCACACCCCGTAGTGACTTATTTTAGGGTTGATGGGTTTAGTTTATACGATTAAATCCTTCAATACCCTATTTCCATTTTCCTGTTTCCTTTTTTTTTTTTTTTTTTTTTTTTTTTTTTTTTTTTCTTTGCGTTCAGCACGTATTCTGGAAGTCTATGCCACATGATATAGACAAGTCTTTTTATACTGAGACCAGCCAAGTTCCCTCCCTTTCTCCCGACCTACATGGGCTAAAGATGTAGGTCATTTAATCTTTCCTCTTAAAACTATTATCTGGGGCTCAGGGCCAGCTTTGTAAGCAGCCACATGTCTAAGCGCAGATGCGACCGTGGGGCGGGGTAAAGGCTTCCCGGGAGGATGTCCATGCATGCCCTATGCACGGGTGCCCACGAAATGTCCGAAAATAAACGCTTCCCCAAATCATATGGCAACTTCTCCGATCTCAAATGTATCATTGTATCTCAAATGTATACTCAGTTATAATTCCTATCGCTGAATAGAGAATGTTTAGAGGATGTCTTTGCTAATTAAGACCTGATGAGTTTCCCATCAATTTAGCCGAAACAGGATTTTAAGGCTTGGTTTCCTACTCCGGCCGGAATGATAACGGTGATCTCGCCCATGCCGCCCCCCACCACCACCACCACTATGCACCGACTACTATTATCGTGGTACCTGCAGTTACGCTACAAGGAGAGTTGTTCTTCCGATCGTGAACAAAACTACAAGTGAAATAATCATTCACTAGACAAACAACCCTCTAGAGTTCTCGGTTGGTGTTGGAAATCAAGACCCTTAGCGCAGCTTTCTGATGATCATCCAAACTTTACAAATTAAATTGTTGCAATTCTAAAGCAGAAGCTCTACTTTTACGCGGTATTTACCCTGAAAGAGCGGGGTTATTTTATTTATTTGGACCATCTTACAGCCAGGGGGCGGACCCACCCCTGAGAACTTGACTTTCCTTTGTTCCAATTTTTTTTTAAACTCGGAATGCCTATAAAACACTCTTATCAGTACAAACGTGGACTCTTTCGTGCTTGAGCGCGGCTGTGGCAAAGTATACGTTTCACGTTGTCTAACACGTCTCTGATAATGGGCGCTACTGAAGAACTGTACCATCGATTTTCACTAACTTGAAGCAACACGACTACAAAGAAATTCTGAAAACAGGCCCCAACTTTAACAAAGCGGCGGCTCGTGAAAAAACGCACCGCAGCTACATGAAAAAAATGGGGTGGGGTTAAATATCGCCCCAGCTCTTTTAAGGTTAAGCGTTCACTACACTTCAGCACATCAGAGAATCATTATCGTTCAATTCCGTGTTTATCAGATACGGTTATCATTGAAATCAACGCTTATGTAAACAGTTATCACCAATTGTGTATTTCAGCAGGACGTTGGTGTCCGGCAGAGGCGTAACGACGGCATTTTCTTACGGGGGGGTGTCAATTTGCCGACTTGGAACTTGTTCGCCCACCTCGTGTCGTGTAAAATTCTCCAAATGCGAAAAATTGATACACGCTATATTCCATGTTTCAGGGGGAATGCCGACGGCCAACGTATATTTTGCAGACCGAAGCTCCATTTGCCTAATTATGGGGGGGGGGGGGTTGCCGCACGGATTCATGCCATTGCTGAGACGTGTTTACGTCTGAAGAAATGCCGTAATCTGCATGTAAATTAGTTTGTAATTGATCAAAAGAATTTAACTATTCATCCTAACACATGATACAGCCGCACTGCAAAAATTAGATCATTTGAACCATAGTTCCACTTCTCAAATGGAAGTCTCGTAGGGCGCTAGCGATATTTTATGTAGTGTGGAACTTTCTAATTCGACTAAGCTATGTATAGTCTTCACCCAGAATTTTGGAACTTGTAGAGGTGATGCAGGGATTAATTTATGTGAGAATTTAGTCAGGAATTATGTAGGTGATGTACAGATTTGTTCAGGTGTTGTGTAAAATAAATAATGAATTTAATGTTTAATGTGTATTTAATGGAACGAAAAGTGTGAAGCAGTGAGTCTTGTGTTAGCTGAGGTTAGCTAGCTCATTGCATGATCTCCATAATGGAGATACAGCGCCCTCAAAACAAACCAACATTTCCTTGGTACTCTGGTAAAGTGACCAGCTCGTGTATGCCAAACGACGAACAGGCCCCGTGGATGCTCTAGCAGACGTTTTGTACGTACTGTAGGTACAGCCACGCTGCGCTGATGACGACGACCACTTCGGACGAACTCACACGGGCCGGGTACGAGCATACGACCGTTGTTGATCGGAGCGCGTGGATCGAACGAAATGCTGTCTGCTTCTGGTTGGTCTCGTGCGTTGACTATATAATTCGGCGTTCTTTTTGATAAGTGGTGACAGGACAAGCAAGACAATGTTGAACATTCAGGAAGAATTTGACGAGCATGAGAGAAAAGGTACATGGAGGATGGAATTTCAGGTAGGTAAAACGTGTGTTCACCACAAGCAGTGTTCACCCCAGTGTTCAGGCCCACCGGTAGTGTTAGTCTGTCATTGGTCATTTATAGTGTACAGTGCGTGTGCACGGACTTGATTTGACCACGGACATGACGCGACGGACCGTTCACCCAGGGATGTGCAACTTAAGCTCATACATGTAGCTGGTTCAATGCGCGTTACGGCCGGCACAATATCAAAGCAGAAATCTAATTGGATTATCTCCAATAATAAAACATATATTCCTGTCTACCACTTTGTTTTCTTGTAATATTTTTAGTCAGGGTACACCCTTTCCAAAAATATGTTGCTCAAGTCTTCATCCTATACATTCTGAGAAAAGTGTACCACAGAATTGGGGAATTTTGGCTCATTAAAACTTTGTTTTTCCTTGAAATCGATAAATGAAGAAGATTTATTTGTCCAAACGAATAGATTTAAGCACCGCCTCGGCGCGTCGTCTCGGCATAACCACGGCTGCACTGTACATGCTGCATGCTGCAACGTGTGTCATGTGGTCGCGAGTTTTTTCGAAAAAAGTGGAGAGCGCCTGCGGGGGTAATAACAATCCGTAACACGCATGGAACCAAGGTTGCACGTGTTTGCACAGGGGCTGCTCGCGGCTGCACATCCCTGGGTAAATGGTTCGTGATTTGACCATACACATTGTAGATTTGACGGAGGGTACATGGGACTTGAATTTTCTAAGCTTTCCTTACTTTTGAGTTGGAAATCATGCGATGTTTCATACCCCACGGTACTGGCATCTCTTTTTTAGTTTATCCTTTGCATAAACATACATGTGCCGGTAGGAATGATCAGCCTTACTTGCGTGACCGTACGGTATAGTCGCCAGGTCCCTTATTTCGGAACTTACTGTGAAAACCAATCAGACTTGACAATAGGTGGCGAAATTAGGGACCTGGCAACCCAACCATCACACCCGTTAGGCCTACTTGAACTTCACCCTGTTCACTTGACATGCTTGAGTTGGAATAACTATAAGTTGTCCTACACGTAGTTTGCTAGCCTGGCCCCATTAAATGGTAAAATATCCCCAACTTAATAGTGAGCGTGCTTTTCACAGCATGTTTAGGACCAGTCATACTAGTAACTGTGATCTGCTTCTGTTATATGTGAAAAGTTAACTAACTTAATGATACTAAAATGTACGTAGGTCTAAAGTATTTTGAAGTGGATTAATGTATAATTGTTGGAAGAGAAATTGATGCAGTCAGGTGACAGTAAAACCTGTCGGTGTTCACATAAATATTTCAAAGCCATTATCATTTTAAATACAAGTCTTCTTAACATTGATAGTTTATATTCAATGAATGTACGTGTACATGTACTGTATATTAGGTGTTCAAAAGATTTCAGGATTCTTAAAGATTGATTAACAATTATACCATTGGAAAGAGAAGTTTTAAAAATCCAATGGTGTTGAAATCATTCCCACAGCAGCTTGTGTTTTGGAGATATATAAAATCATTTGAACCTAAATACTGTCATTAGCCGAAAACAGTCCATAACTTTTGGTATAAAGAGGTCCTGTTTGCAACCCTAAAAAAAAACTACCTGTTCATATCAAATGAATCCTTCCTATAGAAACTACAGGGTGATATTTCAATCAAACTGCTTTCCTTTGAAGAAAAATGTTCATACTTGGCACAAAAACGATAACAGACAAACTGTGACATCAGACTAAATATTCACTCTGCGATCTTGCTGAAGCTGAACTCCTGTCCACTCCAGTGCATGCGGCTGCAAATATTTCAGGACGTGACATTTGTGTTACTTTCACGTTCACCTGAAGAATGGCATGGTTTTACTACCACGGCTAGAGTACTTGTCACTTTTCAGTCTCTGAGTTGGTTTCTGCAGTTTGGGTTAGAAATGCCTGTGGGGAATCATTGTTCCAACCAAACTAGAACTGAAGGGTTTAGTTGGTTTGGTTGCTGATAGAATGGGAGGAAATATTGAAAGGGGAGGAGACAGTGCTAGGTCACCAGACTTTGCATGCAGGGAAATAAAAACGGCACATGATGAGAAAGAGAGGGGAGCAGCAGTGGTCAAAAGCATGCCGAATATTATGGAAGAAAGTTTGTCCAAAATGCCATCTCTTACCTGGGTGGTTCGATAAAGGAGGCTGAAAATTTAACACTGTGGGAGAGATGATGTGTTTACCTGATTTGCCGAAAAGAAAACATGTAACAGTGTACTCCATATGTATGCACTGCTGTCGAACTGTTACATTACATGTGGCAAACCTACTCTGTAGTGAATGAAGTTTGGGGTACTTGCCTGTGAAGGATATGGTACCGGTAGCTTTCTTAGCTGGAACTTCAGCCAACCAATCAGTAACAGTCTACCGGGGTATCATGGAAATTTTACTGCAATGATGTTCGTTTCCAGTGTGTGTTATGGCTTGTGGAAGTTCATGGTGTGGTAATCATGATTTTTTTTACCCCGTACTTCCCTCAACATTGAAAACGTTGACTTCATTCCGTCAAATTAATCAATGTCGTCATTTTAGGTCAGTCCAAAAACCTGGAAAAAATTGTTCTTTGAAATAGGAAAAGTACCCAGTTAATGAATGCCCAATCACCCACAAATCTTGAATCATTTAAAAGCTTATCCTTCAATTCAGTGTTATTTCAATTACGTATAGTTTCATATCATATGATGTGCCGGTATTTCAAATTTTCAAAGACGCATGTGCATGGCTGAACATTAACAACACAAGGTCTAACCCACAACCTTGAGACAATGCTTCCTTTACAATCAGCAGTGCAATTTTGCCATGCAGCCTCAATCCTCCAAAATCTTCCAAGAAACACCCCAGAGGATTTTGAAGGATTGAGAGTGGTAAGGGTTAATTAATAAAAAGAAGTATTTTCTTTCTTTGCATGTATGGTCAATGTACATGTACATGTACGTACATACTGCATGTAAGTGTGTAGGTCTGTCACTTACAGACAATAATGTGGGTCATTTGAATGAAATATTGATGATACTGAGGTTTATTTGGTTTTGCAAAAAGGAGAATCAAGCCAGCCTAAACTGTTTTGAAGTATGAATGTGCATGTAATTTATTTAGAGGCACAATAAACAAGTAACAAAATGATCAGGGTAAAGTACCAATATGCTACAATGTCCACCATGCGTGGGACACCATCCACTTACATGTACCCAGGGACAATATTCAGCAAAATGTGCCTGATGGTATCTGGAGATCCTGGATTGAAATCCTGCTTCAGTCATCTTCTTGTTTGTCTTTCCACGAAAGTAAATTCCGGACAAAATAAGCACAGAGCTTTGAGACAATAGGTAACATTTGTCTTAGAGACTTACTTGTACATGTACAAAGAAATTAGAATTCTTTCCGGGTGAGCTGCATGTTTCAGCCAGCAGACTATCCATTCACCACCGTTCTGCTGACCCACTATGAGATGTATACGTGTACACCATAGGCAGTCCAAATCCTGCTTTGTGAAATGCAGCACTTTAGCATGCAGGGGCGAATCCAGGAATTTTATTTGGGAGGGAGGTCAGGCCAGAGATGATTTTTGATTTCTAATTTTTGTGGACAAGCTGAAAGAAGGATGAAACATTACGTACATGTACATGATTGTGCATTGTTTACAGTGGCATTGATGCTCTTATGGTACTTTTGTACACTTTGTTTGATGAGGAGCTACCCGGTATTTCTCATATAACTTGGGTTAAAGTTAGTTAAAGTTAAAATTAAATTTTACCATTGATCAATGGCAATCTGTCTTGTGTACGCTATAAAGGTCATGTAACATTTTGTACTGGTATGTACAATGTACATGTATCGGTACATGCAGGCCATAGGCCTATTTTGCATGAGGTACCAGTACGATGATCCTGTATAATCAGCAAAAAAAATTAACGACAATTGTCCTTCCCTCATTAAGTTGTATTTTTGGTGCCAACAATGCAAGTTCGAATTAAACACCTCGCTAGTGCCTTTTGACCAAATACATGTACATGTATGTAGGCCTCTCTGTGTCCCACTTTTTTTCTTCTTTCTAGAGAATGTTTTGCATGTGGAACATGAGAGATTAAAGTTTGGCATAACAAATTTTTTATCTGTTCAGCAAGTTTGTAGATTTTGCCGTCAGACTAAATTTTCTCTTTGCTTATTCATTATTTACCAGTATGCAGCAGCAAGCAAGCATCAATCCCATGCTCAGAAATGGTTTCAGTGAGCAAATTCTCGGTTCACAATTCTGGGTTCACAATTTGAACAGAAAACCTTTGCCCAGGATTTTGAAGCATTGATAATTTTGAAATTTTGAAACCGTGTCCTTTTCAAATGCATTTAAGCAAATACATGTATGAATGTAAAAGTTTTCACACATTGAAGAAGAGGACAACGTTGCTGAAGAATAGTGTCTAAGAAAAAGTCATTGCAGCTACACTTTTAGGAATCCTTTACTGTCACAAAAAAGGTGGCAAATACCAGTATATTAAAATCTAACTGAATAAATGATGTTACACTCGATCATTCGATTAACAGAGTAATAATTACATCTCAGAGATGAATACATGTGATCACCCTAGTGGTACATGATGAGATTCTACAACACATGTTGGGCCTACTAGGCACAGTTGGCCTTACATGCCCTGGTCTTCTGGCATTGTCTCCGTTTAGAGAAATAGGCCTGTACACATCAGGCTAGGATCACTATGCAATCAATGTCAGACCAGGTTACATGCCATCTACCCCAACTCCACCTGTCCGTTTGTTTCTCAGGTGAATGTTTTTTCCAGGAAGGCAGATGTCCTTAATCTCCCTCCCCCCACCACCTTTTTTTGTTTTTTTGACTGGGGATGGTTCTGGTTTGACTGGGGATGGTTCTGGTTTGACTGGGGATGGTTCTGGTTTGACTGGGGATGGTTCTGGTTTGACTGGGGATGGTTCTGGTTTGACTGGGGATGGTTCTGGTTTGACTG